GATGTAAACTTCAGTATTCCCATTACTCGCATCAGAGCTCAGTTTTCCTGGGAAATTTAAGTTTGAACTGATGATTCTATCAGGTTTTTCTCCCTCCTGTAGATCATCAGATAGAAATAATCAGTGTCATTCAAGATCATCAGGTATGGAATTTTGGTACCAATTGCACGTTTAATTATAGCAAACCAACTAGAAGACTTTTAGTCAACATAAACATGAATTTACCTTGCCCCAGAGACCAGATTCCTTGTCATACCAATATCTACCAGGCTTCAACTTCCTTGGAGGTAAAGGGCATCCCAGTAATTCGACCATCTCTTCAGGCTTTAAAGGGAACCCATTCACAATCAGCTGCTCTGGTCGGAGTTGATTAGCAGAACACTCTTTCTCAGCTTTCATTATTTGTTTAACTTCCAAAGGACTAAGCAATCGCGATAATACCCTTGAATGTTTACCCAATTTCAATCGCTTTGATTCATCAATTGGCTCACCAATACAGGTCACACATTTACGCCCCTCAGGCATTGACCCCATTGCCCTAAGCACACAATTGCTGCAGTACTTGGCATCACAAACGAGGCATGATTCCTTAGTTTCCCACTTCCCTTTTCCGCACCTGTAACAGACCCTTCTTTTTTTCTTTTTCTTCTCTTTGGAAACCCCAACATATTCTGGAAAAGCTGGCTTCTCCACATCAACCTCTTTTCTGGCAGATCTATCAACAGTATTAAATGTGACAACAGGTCCTTTCTTTACTTCATTAACAACTAGTTTTGGCAGGTTTCTAGGAGGATTCTTGACCGACCCAGGCGAAGCAGAAGGTGAAGCCGAAGAAAATTCAGGGTTTTGCAGCACTGACACTACTGATTCTGAGCTTGCTGATCCTCTTGGACTCTGAGGAGGAGAACTTGTGACACCAACAATACAAGACACAGGCAAAGGGATTGGTTCAACCACCGGGGGACTTCCATTAGCTGCTGAACTTTGTGATTCTGAGAATGTTTCTGCAGTTGGAATTGTCCGTATATTTACACCCACAGGTTCAACTCTAGGAACTTCATAGGATACTGAAGGACCTTTTATACTCTAATGCTATAGAGTAATCAAAATCAGCAGAATTTTCAGAACAGGAGCTCCTGGCGGAAGCACCTTTCTCATCATTTCCCTCCAGCTCTCATCTTCCTTTTGCTCCATCTCTCCTGAGAAACACAGACTGCTATCTCTTGCTAAGCCCCTAAAACTACCTAAACTCCCCCT